AGATCATTTTGGTGGAGAGTTCGTAACTAGGGATGTAAACTTAATTATCATAATTTTAAATGCAAAAATTATTTTATTTTCGAAATATTATTGTTTTGATAACTATAAAGATTGCGATATACTATGATAAATTTAGAATTATAAAAGCAAAAATTAATTTAATAATATCCATAAAAACAGTGATAACGATAATGATTAAATAAACTTTATATACCGTAATAAAGTTTTTTGACGTTTAATTTTAATGATGAATCTTTGTTCAAATCAAGAGCTTTCCTTCAAATACTCAAGAAATTCCCCAATCAATTATTCAAAACCTTTTGCCATCAAACATTCAAGAAATTTTTTTTCCAAACCATCAAAAAATTTTCAACCAAGAGTTATCGAATAAACTGACAACACTCTTATTTTGGAAGTTATTGATATTTCATTTGAAACCGACGGTCAAATAAAAGTTAATCAGTTAGCATCTGATAATAATACAATTTGAATTTGATTGGTAATTAATTAGTAATAGAACGTAAACTTCTAACAGTAAAGAATTTATTGCTATCGTTACAGTGTATTAGCGATGATAAAATTATTTGTCATGTTTTACAATAATTTTAATATAAATAATGCAGAAGCTTCCCAACAAATTTAGTAATTAAATATATCAAAATATAATTGATTTTGATTTTTGTATTTATAATAACCAAATTATTTTAATTAAGTTTATATCGCTATTCGTAACATTGCTTTAAAGCAGCAGCAGATCGAGAAAATTAAGTACACATCATTGATGAAATATTTTGAACTCAATTGAGAATCTAAATCTTAGTGGACACACTACGATATTAGTAGATAATTATATGTTTTAATTATTCTATTCTGTTTACATATCGATATTTAACTTGTTAAGTCTTCATTTGTATTTTCGAATTTTAGTTTTTCATCAAAAATATTTATTTTAGATGTAAACTACAAGAATTCCTAACGTTGGTTTACTGAATTTGCTCCAAATACTACAATTCCAAGTGCTCAAACTTCAAGTAATACAGAAGAGAAGTTCCAAACCCTAAAGCCGTTGGCCTAATCATTGGAGCCATCATTGGCAGTATCGTTGTCATGACATTCGTTACTGTGTTTATTTTAATTTTGAGGGTAAAACAATGCATTGATAATTTTTTGTGGGACACACGTCGAAATCAAAAAATTTTAAAAATGCTATGTTTTACCTTTTAAAAATATTTTTGTACACTATATCGAGATGAGTGCCGCCAAGGGAAAACTCGTAAATCTTATTAAATAAGATTTGCGAATTTTTCTTTGGTGGCACTCATAAATTTACTTATAAAATTTTGGTATACGCGTCAACTTATTTAAACAACAATTAAAGTGAGTGTTGTAATCACGAGATGCTTTATTAAAACTAAAATGGATTACTAAACTAAAATAAAATTTGGTGTGAAATTAAACATAATGTCATAGTGCGCTGGATAGAAGAACCAGGATCTAATACAATATACCCTGAAAAACTTATAAAATACCTGTGGATATCTTTTAGGTTGCAATATGAAAAATGTAGTGTAAAATACCTGAGTATTTTAAAGGGGTACTGAAAATGGGCAAAGTTGAATAAGAAAAAAAAAATGTTGCAAAGAAGAAAATATTGAAATAAAAAGAAAAAAATATTGCAAGGTAAATAAAAAAAAATATTGCAAGGTAAATAAAAAAAAATATTGAAAAGTAAAAAAAGGATGAGAAAGAAAAAAGAAAAATAGAGAAAAAAAAGGTACAATGACAAAAAGATCATTTTTTATTTTATCCTTGGTCTTTCTCTTCAAAAAAAAGTTTCTTCCGCGAAGTAGCCTTTAACGAAAGGTTCTAGGATTTTTAGAAGGTGATTTAAATACCGCATTTCCGCGACCATCATTATAATAGGTTGAGCCATTACTGTTTTGGTAGTAATATGAGGAGTCTCGGTTTGAATAGTGGTAACTACCCCCATTAGCTTCAGAAGGGCCGCGGTGGCACCAATGGTTGCCTTGGGAATTAGTCCCAGTAGAATACGAGTCAGATGTGCCTTTAGATGAGTTATTGTTTGATCCTTGAGAAGACATTTTTTGATCAAATTGCTTTTTTGGGGGATGAGATTTAGCCCGTATATTTATAAATTTTTAAAATTTACGCAGCTATGAAATATTTCTTATTGTTTTCATATGAGGAAAAAAAATGGGTTTTTCAAATTAGGAAACAAATCCGTCTTCGACATTAAGACGACACCGTAGTTAGCTACTAAGTGAGTATCCTAATTTCGACATATGTAACAAAATAAACTGCCTGATTTGAAAGTATCGTTGCAGCATTTTATCAAATCGGGAATAGTCTAAAACCATAACGATAATATTTTATATTGTATGCTATATTTATCTCATGACTTTTAGTTTGTAGGTCAATTAATAATCAAAAACTAATGGGCTTTAGACTCCAGGAGCGGCTTATTGTTGAATAGATTTTCCATCTTTTGACGTGATCTTCATATTATTCTAACTTATATTTTTCTATTTTATTCCATAACTGATAATACGAATAATTTTGTATTATGTATTCAAATAGTTGAACTTTAATTATTCCTCTTTTTGTAATTTTATTTGTTGTATTAGATTTTCGTTTCTTTTGACGCGTAATTTGGTGATCTTCAGATCTCCCACAAAAAATTCTCCCAACGTGACTTAAGGCCATATAAACTTATACTACTGTACTATCGGTTTTCATATCATCATCTAACCTCTAATGACCCGCCGACCCGGATTTTAATTTTTTTTTTAAAAAAAATTTTTTTAATAATTATTTAAAAATTTATTATTTTACAACCCGGTTACCCGGTAAAAAATTTTATATGCTAAAAATTTTTTTAATATATTGCAGATTTGAATAAGTGTAATTTTTCTAAACCAACTTTTGTAAATTAGCTACTTCGAAAATTCTAAATTGATTATTTGCTTAATCAATTGCTTTTAATCAATTAGTAGTGCGCGACGTTGTCACACAAAACCAGGAACTGAAGGTGGATTTTCAGATCGAAAAGCATAGGTACGAGTGGTCATGTGATTAGAAGAATGCCGGCCAGCCAAAAGAGCCGGAAATAAATTCAATTACAGCTGTTTTCATAAATTCTGGAAATTTGGCAAAAATTGACTGACCGAATATTTGCTGATTTGATAACTTTTGATTTGGATGTAATCACATCCGAATCGGCAAATATTCGGTCGGTCAAGTTTTGCCAGATTTCTAGAATTTATGGAAACAGCTGTAAAGGACTTTAAGTCTGTAGAATACATTGTAAGTAATTTGAACTGAGTAATTTGAGCTGAGTAATTTGAACTGAAACGATGATATGCTCCCGGGAAAATTAGCAAATGAGATTGCGCCCAGGTATCATCGTAACAGTAGAATGAGTGAGAAGCAGCATCAGCCGGTGGTTTCCCGCCTGAATAGATTAGTGGGTTCACCAAAATTCAGCAAGTCGGCCCGAATTTGGGGTCAGGGATGGGCCGGAGCAAAGTGGCATTAAGAAATAATACCGGCCGACTATATTATAGCAAAATTATCATTTGGGCAGCTTTACTTAATGCATAGGCTGCCACTTTATTAGTAAAATTTTGGGTGATTTTAGAAAAAATTTATTAATTCCGGCCTATTCCGACCCAAATTCGGGCCGATTTGCTGAACTTTGGTGGACCCACTAATCCAGTGTTGGCCGATGACATAGGTCATAACATTTTTTCGATATGACCTTGGTCATATAATCATATGACTTTTTGGTCATAAGTCATATCGGTCATATCAAATATTAGTAAATTTTTTTTTTACTATAAATCTTACTATATTAAAAGGTCATAAAGTCATATCAATCTTCGTTATGACCAAATGACCTATGACAGGTCATAAAGGTCATATAGGTCATTCAAGGTCATCAGCCAACACTGCACTAATCTACTCGCATAAGGGGAGCTTCTAATTCAATTGGAAATTCTACTTTGTATTTGTAACGCAGAGAGAACTCTCCCTGGGTTACACTTGACGCACCCCCGATGCACTTTCGACGCACTAAACAAGGTAGGGCAGTTGTTAGAAATCGAAAAAGACCTCTGCTCGCCCGCACACGTATAGATTGGATATTTTAATACATTAACATGGAGTTTAAGCAGTGTAGCATATGCACCTTCATCTCTGACTGGTTATTGTGCAATAACTTTGCCTGATGATATTTCATATATTGATGGAATCACTCCTGATCTTACTAAATATTTGCCAATGGACATTGTAAGTGTTGAATGTTGTATAGCCTTTATTCATTAATGTATGTAAAACATAATCTGTTACATGGTCACTTATGATATGTAACGAATAAATAAAACTTCTACATATCTTATATGATATAGCAGCGAATAAAAAAACCGATATCTCATTAGAATACGTCTGGTCAACTTCCTTCTCGCTTTTTTTTCAGCAGTATCAAGTACGTTATTTAAAATATTACCGTATTGGTGCGTAATAACGCGCATGCGCGTTATTTCGAAACACGCCTTTTCTTGAAAATTGCATATTTGACTCGAAATAGCGCACATGCACGTCCTGAAATAACGCATCCATTAAATATACATATTAATTAATAAAGCAGAGTAACCCAAATTTGTCAAAATGATTCAAGTTACCGCGCATGCGCGTCCCGAAATAATGCACAGGGTTTCAAAATAACGCGTCAATACGGTAATAGATATTTCAAGTACAGTTTCTCGTTAAATTAAAAGCTCTAGACGGTATCATAATATTTGCTCTCATGTTACTACGTGTAATGCTAATATGTATGCCGATCTGTGAACTTTAGATATTGCAATGTATTAATGAAATATTTTGAACTCAATTGAGAATCTAAATCTTAGTGGACACACTACGATATTAATAGATAATTATATGTTTTTAATCATTCTGTTTACATATCTATATTTAACTTGTTAAGTCTTCATCTGTCCAACAGATCGATTTTCGAATTTTGGTTTTTCATCAAAAAATTTATTCTAGACATAAGCCACAAGGATTCCTACCGAATTTGCTCCAAATACTATAATTCCAAGTGCTCAAACTTCAAGCAATACAGAAGAAGTTCCAAACCCTAAAGTCGTTGGTCTAATCATTGGAGCCATCAATGGCAGTATCGTTGTCTTGACATTCGTTACTGTGTTTATTTTAATTTTTAGGGTAAAAACAATGCATTGAAAATTTTTGTGGGACACACGTGGAAAACAAACATTTTAAAAATGCTATGTTTTACCTTTTAAAAATATTTTTCACTATATCGATATGAGTGCCGCCAAGGGAGAACCCGCAAATCTTATTAAATAAGATTTGCGTGGCAGCACTCATATAAACTTTTAAATTTTTTTGTATACGCATCAACTTATTTAAACAATGATTAAAGTGATGTTGTAATCACGAGATGCTTTATTAAAACTTAAAATGATTTGCTAAACCAAAATAAAATTTGGTATCATGTCATAGTGCGCTGGATAGAAGAACCAGGATCTAATGCAATATATTTACAAAATACCTGTGGATATCTTTTTAGATAATGCCGAGTATTTTTGCGGCAATATGAAAAATGTCGTGTAAAATATCTGAGTATTTTAAAGGGGTGCTGAAAACGGGAAAAAGAAAAAAAAAAGGACAGGAAATAAAAATAAAATAAGGAAAAAAAAATGTACAAAGAAAAAAATATTGAAATAAAAAGAACAAAATGTTGCAAGGTAAATAAAAAAAATATTGAAAGGTAAAAAAAAAAAATGATGAGAAAGGAAAAAGAAAAATAGAGAAAAAAGGAACAATGCACAAAGAGATA